AAAAAAAAAACCCTTCCCCGAAAAAACAAAAAAAAAAAAAAAAAAAAAAGGAATAGAATGGGACTGGAGAGATGGCTCATTGGTTAAGGGCACTGGCTGCTCTCCCAGAGGACCCAGGTTCAGTTCCCAACACCCATATGGTGGCTCACAGCTGTCTGTAACTCCAGTTCCAGGGAATCCAGTGCCTTCCTGAACCTCATAGGGGGCACCATTCACTCATTTGGTGCACGGACATAGGTACAGGGTAAGCATTCATACACATAAAATAAAACACATATCTCGAAATTTTTCAAAAAAGAAGAAAAAAATCCTCACTCCTGTGACAGAGTGAGTTTGTGATGCCCACTTCTGTCTGACAGTTGCTTGTCACCTCTTGCAGTGGTAACCAGGCTGTTACCTCCTTCAGAGCAGACTGGCGCTCAGCAGACAATCAGAAAATGAGTGAACAGTGAGTCCACTGAGAAATAAAACATTGCTTCTTCAGGTGAAGGCTTCTCCCCTGGAGAAGGACTGAATCCCTTTCATTGGTGTTAACGCTTTAGGTTCCCAGAGAGCGCCGGTCTTCTGCAGCAAAGCCAGAGGGAGAGCACCCAGAACCAGAGCACAGCAAAAGGTAAGTTTGGCAGCCGGTATACATTGGTGTACATTGTAAAGAGGTGGGCAGGCTCCACCAAGTCAACCGGAAGGGCCTGGTAGAAGAGACTGTGGAGTGGCCGTCATCTCAGCATTAGATTCTGTTGCTGATTTGTCTGCTACTCTGTGAAGTTACTGTTTATTTAGGCAGTGTTCCCTTTCCTAGAAAACATATTCATCAAGCTCTTCTCCAAAGGGATGTTTTTAGTAAAACCTGAAGTGTTTATTTATCTAAAGGGGGATGAAACAGGGGAAGAGTCTGAAAACCACCCAAGTGTGGTGGCACACGTCTGTAACCCCAGCACCTGGGAGGCTTCAGAAGCAGGAGGCTGGGGAGTTCTAGCTAGCCTGGACTCTTGGGAGAGCCTGCTTCAGACAAAGCAAGGCTTGGGGTGTAGCTTTGTGATGCAACACTGCCTAGCATGGGCATGGTCCTGGGTTTAATCCCCAGATCTGCAGAAAGAAAATAAAAACAGCAAAACAACAACAACAACCAAAAAACCAGAAAGACACCAATGATTCCAGAATAGTTGCCTGAGTAAAACTCAATGAGTTAATGTCCAAACTCTCTTGAAGACATTTTAGGTTAAAACTTCAGTAAATTAGTTACAACTCAACCTTATGGTCACAAAACATTTTTAAAAGATACACTTTATATTTATTTATTTTCTTTGTGTGCATGAACATGTTTGTGCATACCAAGGCACACATGTAACAGTCAGAGGATAGCTTAAGAGGCAAAATAGCTCTTGCCTCTCTGTGGCTTCCTGGTATCAAACTCAAGTCATCAGACTTGGTGGCAAGCACCTTTACCCACTGAACCATCTTTATGGCCCTAAAAGCAGCTTTTAAATTGACCCATGTTGGGCTGGAGAGATGGCTCAATGGTTAAGAGCACTGGCTGCTCTTCCAGAGGACCCGGATTCAATTCCCAGCACCCACATGCCAACTCACAACTGTCTGTAACTTGATTTCCAGGAGATCTGACACCCTCACACCAATGCACATAAAATAAATTTTAAGAAAAGAAAAAAATTAGATTAACCCATGTTTTGTTACTAATAAAAATTAAAACAGCTGGGCATGGTAGCAGATACCTGCAATCCTAAGGAGCCTGAAGCAGGAGTTCAAGGCCAGCTTGGGCTGTGACAGCCAAATCCCATCTTTCAGGGAAAGGGGACAGAAACTGATTTAAGGAATGAGTAACAGTTCATATTCCACACCCCTGACAATTATTTCTTTACTGTGGCTGCTGCGCTTACAGTTACAGATAGTTTTTGAAAGTGTGCATTTATTCCATGTAATTTGTTTCATAAATATTCTCCATGTTACTATTTAAAACTTCATGATTTTGTTTTGGAGAGTGGCTTATGTATAGATTTTATTTTTTACTCATTGCCATGAACCTTTTCAAGCATGATAAAAGGAGAAATGCTAGAAGTGAGCATATATTCATTGCCAGCCTCAACAGCTGTAATGGTGAGACTGCTCTTCCCTCTTCCTCCACGATAGAATTAACTCATGTTTTATTTTATATACTTTTGCTGGAGTGTCTGGAAATAAATTCAAAATGCACTTACATTTGCAGCCCTGTCTAGTCTTTTGATGTGACACAGCCACAGGAAAAACCTTTATTTTGAGAATGGGTCTCAAGTTGTCCCGGTTGACTGCAGCTTCCAATCCTCCTACCCCAGCTTCCTGGCGTTTTCTTTACTATCAGTCCTCAGAAGTGAATTTACAGTTCAGAGTTTGAATAGTTTTACTGAACCTGGGATGTATAAAATTGCCTTTGTTTTGTTCCTTGACATTTTCAGTTTGTAATATTTCAGAGAGCTTTAAAAATACTTTCATGGACCGGGGAAGCTTAGTGGAAGAACACTTGCCAAGCACATACAACAGGGCTCCAATTCTGTCCCCAGAACCAGGAAAAAAGACAAGGCAAACAAAACACTCCACATTTAGGGCTAGAGTGACAGCTCAGCAGGTAAAGGACCTGCCAACTTGTGTTCTTGCCTCAGAACCAGGTGGAAGGTGGTGAAAAAGATAGGAGAGACTGTGCCATAGAGTTGATGTCTGACCTCAGCAGGCTGCTATGTACATATCACACACATGCATACTCATGGAGCTGTACACACATACATACACACACCTATACATGTACACAGAGGTGTACACATATACATATACACACACATATACACGGAGGTGTACACACATATATACACACATCCCTATACATGCGCAGAGGTGTACACACACACATATATATACATACACACATGCGTATGTGTACATAGAGATGTACACACATACATATACACACATTAAAAATGATTTTTAAAATTACAGTTCATATTAATAAATATTAAACCACAATTAATTTTATATAAAATATCAACAGATAAAGTATGATAATGAGTTTTCTTTGGGAAAGTCAAATGGCATCAGTATTAGAAAGCAATGCTTGGCAGTACCTCCTTGTGAGCATCTGTGTGCAGGTGTCGTTCCCTGAATTCTGTCCTCAACACCCATGAGAGAGGACAGACATCCACTGTGCTAGATAGTTTTTGTCAACACAAACCTAGACAAACCTACCAGGGCAGAGGGAATCTCAACTGAGGAAATGCTTCCAGCAGATTGGCCCGTGGACATGTCTATGGGGCACTTTCTGGATTGCTGATTGTTGCAGGGCCCAGCCTACTGTGGGCGGTGCCATCCCTAGGCAGGAAGACCTGGGCTGTACAAGAAAGGTAGTGAGCATGTAGGAACAAGCCAGTAAACAGTGTTCTCCCAAGGTCTCCTTGAGTGTCTGCCATGGTGTCCCTTGATGATGGACTGTGACCTGCATAGTGTTTTTCACAGCAACAGAGATGCAAACTAGGACAAATTGTTTTTGCATTCCACAGATAAGAATGGGGTCCTGAGAGACAAAATAGCCTGCTCAAACTGACACACAATTTGAACCGGGGTGGTCTCACTCTGGAATCTGTGAGCTCACATCTTCAGGTTTATAGTAAAATATGAGGAGCTACACAGTAGGATTATTGGGAATAGCATGTCCTGGAGGAGCACTCTGGGTCCCTTCTGAGAAATTGTGCTTTCGATTTGGGTTTTGCTTGACTGATGGCTGTGAAGTCTTCATGGGGAATGGGCCCTTCCTCCATTCCCTGTTTAGTTGGCTTCTGTCAAGTGTTCTGCTACTGTGGGGAGCCCAGACCATCAGAGTAACAGGTTGTCTGTACAGAGCATTGCTCAATATGTGTGAAGCCCTGGTTGGGCCCCCAGTACCTGCTCCTCCCAAATCATCAAAGCCCTGCATCAGCACCAAGGTTGAAAATACGATGTCCTTTCTCCTTTCTTGAAGAAGCAGCATGCCAAATGTGACGGAGCAGCCCCTCCTTTCTGCTGGAGAAAACAGGGTGCAAGTGCTGAAAAACGTGCCCTTCAACATTGTCCTCCCCCATGGCAACCAGCTGGGCACTGATAAGAGAGGCCACCTGACAGCTCCTGATACAACAGTCACTGTCTCCATAGCAACCATGCCTACTCACTCCATCAAGACAGAAATTCAGCCACACGGCTTTGCTGTGGGAATCCCCCAATCGGTGTACCATCCAGAGCCCACCGAGCGTGTGGTGGTATTTGACCGCAACCTCAGCACTGACCAGTTCAACTCCAGCACTCAGCCACCTAACGCTCAACGGAGGACTCCAGATTCCACCTTCTCGGAGACCTTCAAGGAGGGCGTTCAGGAGGTACAAAAGACAAAAACATCTTCCTAAGACGGCAGCGTGTTTGTCTAAGTATTGGGTTCCACCTTTTCCTGGTTATGTAAGCTTGAAACTTAGCCCAGAACGAGTGGATCAGGAATAAAAAGATTTTTTTTTTTTTTTTTGAGAGAAAGGCCCATAGGTATAATTTGTAAGCTAAACCTACAAATCCAAAAATTATCATCAAGGGCACATGGGTAATCTTACCAACAGCTGAGTTAACAATTATGGTTTCTACTGAGAGATTTGCTGGCAAGAGAGAGAAAGGAAGCCCATGCATAATCTTCCACTGACCACAACTGTGTTCCTATAGTATTTCCTATAGCTTTCATCCTAGACCCAAGCAAGCTCCCGAGCTGGCCTATGTGGCAGCTGTCATGTTGTCACTGGGTGCTGCTTATTCTGTGGTGTAATATAGAATTGCAGGTGGTCATGGAGCGCTCTATGATTCCAGTGAATTGGAAGGGTCTGGTCATGGAGACGGCACTTGGGGAGAAGATAGGCACTAGGGTGTTGGAGGCGATCTTAATGCCCCTGGAGAGTCTTCTAGGTGTGAAACTTACACTGTCCAGGAAAGGGTAGCAGACTTGTCCAGCCCTGGTGCAAACTTGACTCTTGGCCCTTGCATTTTGGCTGCAGATTCTAAACTCTGAACATGTGATATATGGGAAAGATAAGGGAAGGAAACTAGTGGATCTCAGGCACTGTGTGTGCGTGCATGTGTGTGTGAAGAGTGTGTGTGTGTGACAAGTGTGTGTGTGTGAAGAGTGAGTGTGAAGAGTGTATATGTGTGAAGAGTGTGTGTGTATATGTGTAAACTGTGTGTGTGTGGAGTGTATGTGGGAAGAGTCTGTGTGTGAAGTGTGTGTATGTGTGAAGAGTGTGTGAGTGTTAAGAGTGTATATGTGTGAAGTGTGCGTGTGTGTGTGTGTGTGTGTGTGTGTGCCTGTGGTTATTCACATGAGTGCTATTAAAATTAGATATTTACCTTTTATTTTTATTTATTAGTTTTTCAAAACAAGGTTTCTCTGTGTAGTCCTGACTGTCCTGGAACTCCCTCTGTAGACCAGGCTGGCCTCGAACTCAGAGATCCACCTGCCTCTGCCTCTCAAATGCTGGGATTAAAGGTTTGAGACATCACCTCCAGGCTGATATTTTTTATAACTTTTCTTAATTTAATTTTTTTTATAGATCTAAAATTCTTACTTTGAAAAGAGCTTTAAAAAGAGTTGTGGGTTACCGTACACCACACACTGTATCCATATCAGACCTTGGTCATTAGTAACCATAATGATAGTTAAATGGTCGTGGCTCACTACATTGCTATTTCAGGTTTTCTTCCCCTCGGACCTCAGTCTTCGGATGCCGGGCATGAATTCAGAGGACTATGTGTTTGACAGTGTTTCTGGGTAATAGTTGTCTTTTTATTTGACTTTTGGATTTTCAGCCTCTGTGATCACTTCTCTTTTTGGTGCATTGGTCCTGACAAATCTGAGGTGGCTTTGGCATGCTTTCGCCATCTTGTGACTCTGCCAGCTGTGGCCTTACCTTGGGTAGGGAACTTTTCCTGTGGTGATCTGATGTGGGACTCTGGTTTTTGGCTTCCTTGGCTCCTGGTGTTGGTGATTTTCCTTCCCTGGCTCCCTTCTGGTGTGGTGGGATGGAATCTGAAGGAGAGGGGTGGGGATTAAGGTAGATCACCAGGGCCATCTGTTCCCAAAAGTGTGCAGATAGCTGTCAGTTTGTGGGTAAATTAAGTAGACAAAGGACTTTATTGTCCTTGTTAATGATAAAATAAACAAATGTAACCTTTTTTCTTAACCTGGCAACTTGTTTTTAGCTTAGCAAAATTGTGCCCTACTCTGGAAATAGCATTTTCTAGGTTCATGAGACGTATACTAACACCTCAAGATTATTTAAAATTTCATTTTTTATTTTATGTGTCTAACTGCACTATATTTTGCAGGTTTTTTTTTTTTTAAGGGGCCAGTGAGATGACTCAGTGGGTAAAGGGTGCTTGCCACCAAGCCTGATGATTCTAGTTCAATCCCTGGAGTCCATAAGGTAGAAGCAGAGAAATTCCTACAAGTTGTCCTCTGACTGCCACATACATACTAAATAAATAAATAGAGAGATAGGTAAATAAATAACTGTAAGGACTTTGGTTTTTCTGGATTTGTGGGATTTAGACTTCCTTTCATAAGTATGTCCCAAGGCTCAAAGATCACAAACTCACAAACATTATGGTTTGGGATAGAACTGGCAAGCTTTCTCTGTGACATGTCAGATAGCAAATATTTTACGCTCTGTGGGCTAGATAGTCTCTCCAGTGTTGTGATTAGCCAGCTTTGATTTCATAATGAAAAGGAGGTCTGCAGATAAGCCATAAACGAGTGGCAAGACTATGTTCTCTAAAACTTTATTTGAAAGCATAGGTGTAATTGGCTGAAATCCAGTCTAGGAAAGTTCTGAGTGGTTGTGTAAAGTAATAGGAGACATAGGCAATCATGGAGTACCTGTCTTGAGACAAACGTGAAAGCTACAAGAAAGTGCTGGCAGACAAATGACCAGATGCTGTGCTCCGAGCCCGCTTGCAACCTTTGTTCCATAAAGACCAACTTGGCAGCAAGTCCCGGGAGGTTCCTGCCACCACCGGTTCAGTTCCTGATGTTATTTGTAGCCCAAGCATCCAAATGCCTAGTTGTTGACATTACGTCATAGAACTTGTAATTGATATTTTGTGGCCCACAGTCTGAGAGTCTCTGGTCATAAAGCCCTTGTGTTTAGGATCCTGTTTATCAAGAAAAGGGGACAAGTGCTGCTTCTAACATGGCACAGTCAGCTGGGTGTTCGCTGTTGCTTTTCCATTTCAGTAACCTACACACACACACACACACACACACACACACACACACACAAAGGTGTGTACTGGAAGCTTCCAAGAGACTGGCCCCCAAACCTGTTGCTTCTTTGCCCTGCAGGAACAACTTTGAGTATACCCTAGAAGCCTCTAAGTCACTTCGGCAGAAGCAAGGGGACAGCACTATGACATACCTGAACAAAGGCCAGTTCTATCCTGTCACCTTAAAGGAAGTAAGCAGCAACGAAGGGATCCACCACCCAATCAGCAAAGTTCGAGTAAGTTCTGTACCTAATTCCATTCTTCTCCCAAAAAGCTTCTGTCGGGTGACCCTAGGCCCTAATATTTCCAGGTCCTTGTCACTGCATACAGGGCTGGTGGGTTGTTTTCAAGGACTATTTTTACTTTCATTCCTGTCTTTGTGTCTGTGCCTGTTAGCGATGCCCTTGGGGACATTGGCTCCCTTGGAACTGGAGTTACAGGCTGTTGTAAGAGGCCAGATGTGGGTGCTGGGAACAGAACTCTGGTCCCCTGGGAGAGCAGCAAGTGTTTTTAACCACTAGGTCATCTCCCCACCCCACCCCCACCCCAGAGTGTTGCTTTAAGCCTTAACTGTAAGATCTAACAACAAACGACTTTCCCTGAAGCTGCTCACCCCCTGGTATCCTTATGCTGCATTCTTGTTCCCAGAGCGTGATCATGGTGGTTTTTGCTGAGGACAAAAGCAGGGAAGACCAGCTAAGACACTGGAAATATTGGCACTCCCGGCAGCACACGGCCAAGCAGAGGTGTATCGACATCGGTGAGTGGCCAGGAGCCCACCTTCCCTCTTAAAGGTTCAAGTGCCCGCTCTGCCAGATCCAATTATTTTTGGCCGTGATGACCTTCCTGCCGAAAGTGTTTGGATTTTGGTGCCAGCCACAGATGTGTTCCAGGCAGTGTCCTGTGCCTCCTGGAATCAGGGCTCCGTCCTGACTTCCTTCTCAGGGCCTGTGCCAGGCATTGGTTTGCCATGTGATTCTGGAGCCAGGAACTTTATTAGCCAGCTTACAGGAGTGTCCCACTTTGAGCCTTTATTTCTTTTGATCCCCTTCTTTGCTGGGGATGGAACCCAGGACTGCACACATGCCAGACAAGCAAGCATTCAACCACGGAAGTACACCCCCACCTCAGTCTGCACATTTTTGGGGGTGCAGTAATGTCTTTTTTAGGAGATGCTGGGATTTATTTAGAGATAATGATAAGGAGGTTTCCAAACATGCAAAAGGAAATCACTCCTCCAGCTATGCCCTGAGCTAAGTTGCTGAATTCGATCTGTAATAATAACCCAGTGGTGGATGCCCACGGTGCAGCTCTATAAAGCATCTGTTCTCTTCCATTTCCAGTCCCACACAGCACTATCATCTACCAACAGGTGGCCATCCACCTGGGGGCTCCTGCCATCATCTACCCACAGGTGGCCATCCACCTGGGGCTCCTATTTCTTTATCTTCTGAAACTCTCTGGCTCTCTTTTCTGTAAGAACCAGAAGAGCTGCATCTCTCTTTGTTGCGACAAGGTCTTTCTATGTAGTTCAGTCTGATCTCAAACTCATTGCATAACCCAAGCTGCCCTTGAATTCACACCAAAATCTTCCTGTTTTGGCCTCCCAATTTCTGGGATTATAGGCATGTGCCTCCACACCCAACTTAGAAGAACTGAGTTCCACGGATCAATTTTGGGACCCTAAGACCATTGCTTAAACTTTTTAAGGCTTAAACTTTTTAATTTTGATTCAATGATATGGAATTAACTATATCTAAGTTTGTTTCTATTTAAAAAAAAAAAAAGAGTCCTGGGATTATTTTTGCCTTCTTTATTTTGGAATTTCTTTCAACACAACAAAATGCTTGTTCAAATCCTTCAGAGGATAATGCAGAAAACTGAGTGTTTCTTGGTCTGCTATGATCTCATGTTGGAACTAACAGTTGTGACTCTCTTTTTCTCATCCCGTTGCCTCCTGTAGCCGACTACAAAGAAAGCTTCAATACCATCAGCAACATTGAAGAGATTGCTTATAACGCCATCTCCTTCACCTGGGACATCAACGACGAAGCAAAGGTATTTCATAACGTCAGGGTGTGTCCCTTCCAGCTGTTAGAAAAGTGGGAGGAGCCTCACGATTTCACAGCTGATCTGTTTTCCCCTCCTGGATGTTATGAAACTGTCCCTTTCAATTCCCACCCTCCTCCAAAGCAGCGTTTTTTTTTTGTTTTGTTTTGTTTTGTTTGGGGGGGGGGTGTTCCAAACAGGTTTTCTCTGTGTAGCTTTGGAGCCTATCCTGACACTCGCTCTGGAGACCAGGCTGGCCTCAAACTCACAGAGATCCACCTGCCTCTGCCTCCCGAGTGCTGGGATTAAAGGCATGCACCAGCAATGTCCAGCTTTTTTTTTTTTTTTTTTTGACATCCCTCAAGGCAGGGACCAGTATGTGAAACCTCCAGGCTGGGTTGTCACCTGCCAGTGTCTCCTGTGTGACCCCCAGGTCCTCCCAGCCATCCTTCACTTGGCTGCACTTCCTCATTTGCAGAGTAGCAGCCACACCCTGCCCTGCATCCATTCACAGTGTTGTAAGGATCAGTGCAACGCCACCATCAGCCAGGTGGGGTTCCTGCAGAAAGGGCAAAGCCAAGTTACCTGCAGTTCTCATTCCTCACTGTTGCCAAACACCACCATGTAAGAGCCTTCTGCCTCATGCTTTTACAGTGCACGGTTGTTGCAGAGTCAGAGTCACTTGGATGATTTTCTGGGGCTTCTCGGGGATTCTTAGGGACAAGAAAGTATATTCTTAAGTTATAGCTCCCTCCCTTCCCATGGCAGTCTCTCCATTCTCTTCCTTAAAATTATTAGAGTTTGCTGGGTGGTGGTTGCGGTGGCTGTGGTGGTGCACAGGTGGATTTCTGAGTTCAAGGCCAGCCTGCTCTACAGAGTGAGTTCCAGGACAGAGTAACCCTGTCTCGAGAAAAACAAAACCAAAAAGTGTAGAATTCTGGCATCTAGTTACTTTAAAAATCAGAGCAAGCACCAGAAACGCTTGGACAGGTGTTGGGGTAAGATCCATTGCAAGCTTAGTGATGCTTTTCTTCCAGGGTTCCCATGCACAGTCTGATCAGCTTTCTGCTATTATTCACCCTCTCCTCTTTAGTCCTCTACTTATTCAGCAAGAATTCTAATCTTTATTGAGAGTGTGGCCCTTATAAAGCAAGCCTGAGACTCAGGCTTGATTCCCAGCATCTCATACCTACTCTCCCTCAAAAAGAGAATTTGTTTTTTAATTAATGGGACAAGATATTACATTAGAAGCTTAGGGTTGGTTACCAAGGCTTCAACTTCTATTTCTTAAAGTTGCTTTGAAAAGTAAAATAATGTGTTTGGGTGTGGTGGCACACACTTTTACTGAAGCACTCAGAAGGCAGAAGCAGGTGGATCTCTGTGAGTTCCAAGCCAACCTATTGTACATAGTGAGTTCCAGGCCAGAGCTAGAACTACATAGTGAGAACCTGTCTCAAAAAAAGGAAAAGAAATCAAATAATGAGGTTCTTGGTTCTCGTAAAGTTAGTTCTCCTGTCGCTCGTGCCATGGTGGTTGTATCTAAGGCAGAGGACATCCTTCCACCACATGAGACAGTCTGCAGGGGGCTGTGTCAACTGTCTCCTGCCAGCCCACACCACTCCATCCAAATGTCAGTCTGCTGCTTGGTTCGGAGCGGTGGGTACTGGATTACGTTTTAGAGGGGTTGCTGAGGGAAGCGAGCCCGCCACTTTCCTGTATGTTTGTCTCAGTTATTTTGAAATTTAAAACAGCAATAGGACTTAGTGCTTGGCTTCTAAGAAGCCAGGTAAGAGGAGCTGGCTATGCCCTCTGGGTGCTCCTGGCCTCGGGCTCCTGAGAAGTGCTTCTTGCTTCACACTGGGAACTTGTGGAAGAGCAGCAAAGAAACCCTATACTGAATTCTCTATTCCGATTTGTGTGTGACCTATGTCAGTCTTTAGCTGGGGGTGGGGTGAGGGGGTGTTCTGTCTGTTTGTTTTTTGCACCTTTACTACCATTGAAAATGCAAAAGGCTGATGAGGCCAGTTCTGCCTCTAATGGGTGTGACCGGCATTAATAAGCACTTGTCAGGGCCTCAGAGATCTGGGCTGGAAGGACCTGCAAATGGGCAGGAGCTCTGTTTGCTTGATGCGTCACTCAAGGGTGGGAGTAAGGAAAGCTGAGAAAACAGGTAAGGACAGCTGAAGGCTGACAGGAAACTGCACCAGGGAGAAGTGTTCCCTGAGGAGGAGTGTCTTCTGCCACATAACATGGAGGCAAAGCTAGCTCCTTAACCACTTAGAGTCTGCACACAGCCCTCTTCTACTCCCAGACATGGTGGTGTGCCATTTCTTAATGAGGCTTCTCCCTTTTGAAGCTGATAACAGACATCAGTTTCAACCATGTGCTGGAATCCAGCAAGTCAATTCTTTGCTCTTCCCAGCCAAGTCCATGCTTCTGTTTTCATACTTAAAGTAATTACTGCCTGAAGGTAGCTCAAGTGAGTAGGTGTGCACGCAGAATCCTGTAGAGTTGGGTTGTTTTGTTTATTTACTTATGAAAGTACCTACCTTCTTAAATGGCTCCCTTTCTCGTTCTCACTTAGGTATGATCGTTTTTAATTAATTCATTGTTGTCTTAGTAGTGCTGAGGAGTAAACCCTGGGCTTCATGCTTGCTAGGCAAGTGAGCTCCCAGAGAGCTATACTCCAGCCCAGCTTATGTTAATTCCTGATTGTCTCCCACAAATGTCCAGGTTGGTGGGAGATGAATGGCATTCCTTTGCTCTGACTTCCAATGGCAGCATACACTGTCTGGCATGCCAGGTTGAGTAAATCCAGATCTCTGGTTCAGTATCTCTCTGAGTCCTACCTATTGGTGGGCTTCTGCCTCTTCATTTGATGCCACAGTTTTGAGAATAAGCAAAGGTAAATCCTGAATGTGCTACTTGGGAAAATGCTGCTTCAGCCTGGTCTCAACTCACAGGGTGCCTGTGCACACGAGGCTCATGGGTGTAAGCTGGAACCTGCTAGTGCCATGGAAGCATTAAGGGAAAAGCCATTTGTTTTTGAAGCACTGATAGAAAGGGGTGATGCTTTGAAAACTAGGAATGTCTGGGTGTGGTGGCACACACCTTTTACCCCAGTATTCAGGAAGCCGAGGCAGGCAAACTTCTGAGTTTGAAGCCAGACAGGTTTAAAAACCATAGCGAGTCCCAGGCCAGCCAGGGCTGCATAGTGAAAGACATTCATTGGCAGCTGGATGTCTTTCTAAAGACTTAGAAATCTATGGACAGGTTACAGTTCAGCCCATTGACCTTCCTCTAGGCAGCAGCTCCGATTTCTTCCCAACACTGTGTAGCCTAGCTGGGCTACTGGCCATAGTTCAGCAGGAAGCAGCAACATCTGCATTTGGACCTTCAAAGATTGGCAAGGTGTTGGAGTGTAGGATTCATAGGGAAAGACATGAGGGCCCTCTCACCCAGAGAAGAAGGGATGTGAGGGGCAGGCATACAGCAAAGTGGGTGCGCATTCAGCTGTATGGACATTTCACCTATGCCAGCAGGTTCCTTCCCCCCTCAGGAGCCAGACTTTATCCAGCTAGTGGCTGACCCTACTGACCCTGCAAGGCTAGCTGCAGACTCCTAACTCCAGGTCTGGGGTCCCAGACTGTACCACATAGGTCATGTGTTAAATGAACTTTTGGGGAGTAGCCTAAGACCTTAAGTATAGCATCAACATGTCGAGGGAAAATGTGTGCATTACTTTACATGTGAAGTTTGGAGACAGAAGATTCAGTCAAAGTTCTGCAATAGTTCTAGCAAGAGGGAAGAATTGTGGTTCTGCTGGAGCTCCTGGCCTAGAGTCTGCTCTTATCTGCCTTGGATCATAACCCTTGAGTACTTCTGGCAGGGCTGAGGTTGGTTAGTGATAGGAAAGGAGAATCCTAGAGATCTAAAATAAATAGTGGGAAGAGAAGTGAGAGGGAGAACTAAGTCCTCTCTGTAACTGTCACTCACAGTGCTAGGGCCCTTGCCATATTCACACTCCACCCAGCACCATGCAACAGCGCTTAACCCTCTCAGGGTCCTGTTTCTGCTTGTTGAAACCGGGCACCTGAGGAGCAATGCTAGACCCGGAAGTGGATAGCAAGTACTCCAGCTGGATGTTACTATTTGAAGCTGCTGTTACTGGTAGGACAGCACGGTGGACTCACTAATAGAAATTACTCTAGAAAACACTTTTGCTGCTGAGAAATAAGTTTGCATTGGATGATAGTAAGCTGAAGAGGAGAGGAAATTATAAACTGGAAAGCAATTGGTCCTGGACAGCCATCGCCAAGGAAGGTCATCTAGCGGCAGCCCTCGAGTGGCTCTCATCACAGCCAACTAGGGGAAGGTGGTGGCAGTTGAAAGCACACCTCGAGGTCTCTTTGTTGTCTGCTATAGATGTGGTCTTCATGAATATTAAATAAACTATTTAGGGACATGATGGACCCCAGGGACACAATCTCTAACTAGGAAGTTTCTCTAGGGCCGATCTAAATGGTCAGCCTTCAAGGTAGACTGTGTTGTGGCTAAATTCACATGTCCCACTCAGAAACTACCAATACCAAAGAGCTCCCTGCCAGGCGTGGGTCAGGCCCTGGGGTGGGTGGTACCCAGGGTGCTTGCACAGAGCCTGGTGTGAATTGCCTAGTGTGCCTCCTGGGGGGCTGGAGTCTGCTTGGGCTCTGGGTCTGTTTACACCACTCTGCTGCAAGGCCCTTGATGCTCTTTGTGACTTACAGTCAGATCTCTAGAAGGAATGCAGCTAATTAGTCTCAGTGTGTGACCAGGTTGCTTCATGACCAATGGGAAGGCAACTTTCCATGCTGTGACCCATCTGTGGGTGTGACAGATCAGTTGCAACACACTTTTCATCTCTTTCTAGTTAGTTTCCTCCCATTTCTTGCCTTCCATGCAGGGCCTAGGCTGAGGGGATGGATAGGGCAAGGGCAGTCAGAGGCACAGTGTCCTGGAAAAGCTGTGGG